GCCCTCGTGTAGCTTTGCGCGAAATCCATAACAAACAAACAATTAAGGTAGTTTTTTGTAGAGTAAGATATTTGTGTTGTTTCAGTGAAATTTATAAAAGCTGATTTTATTTTAGAATAATTTTACGTAAACGGGTTTTAGTTAGATGTATAAAAACTGATTTTTATTAGAATAAATTCTTTTTTAACTGAAAAATAGTTATTTTACACGCATGCCTTATTCAGAAACAAAGCATTGACTCTTCCAAATTATTAAAAAAAGTGTTAGTTTTAAGAATGAAATTTGTTGATTTTTTCGATACATACCATTTTCACACACCGTGTTCCTGAAATACAAGTTACCGAATAAGGAATGTTTTTGAAGTTTTAGCGAATTTTTTTACACCGGTATATATTTATGTTATTTGTATCCACAGGTGGAAGTTGTATATACGTGGTGTTAGATATATATATATATATATACATATATAGTGTGATACGACATCGGTGGTTTAATGTATGGAAGGTGTATTTAAGGTGAGAAGCAGAATAATTAATGATGAGAAAACAGCTATCAGAATTGGCCGCTTAATGCTTCTAAATTACTAGAGCTTGTTGGTTATACGTGACACCACAAACACACTTTAGAAACACAACCATAAGTCTTGATCAGCTCTTAAACCATGGGTGGCTGTGTCGGTATCACAAGTAAACAAGATACTACTACAAGAACGAGTCTTAGTTCAAATATGGTTGTGCTTGAAGTGTAAGCCAAGAGACGTACACGTATCATATTACACGAATCTCAAGTATGTAAGATAAATAGATATACCTTTTTTACTCGAACTATGAGTCTGTGTACCACGATAAACGGTATTTAGTGAGTCCTAAAGTTAACACGTAGACATACGTCGCTTTACTTGGATCTCCAAGCTATCACTTTCCGTATATGGCACTGGACGAACCTTCTAATAACAGAAAGACAGATATGGTACTTAGTGAGTACTCGCCTTGTTTGGATCTCCAGTCTGTCGCTGTACGGATATGGCACTAAATTAACCGTATAACAATACGCATATACAAATGATGTCGAATGAGGTTACTTCATTCGACTTGTAAGGTTCGAATGAACTTTAAATTAATCTTTGTAATCTAGTTCTTAGTAATTTGACGCCAGATAACTTATCGTTATCAACTCTGTATAGCTTATCCCAACATGAACTGAGATTTTAAAACGTTCCTTTTCCTTCTCCTGATATTATTATATAAGACAGTTATATTGTAGGAAACTGTTGTCGAAATACACGTATTTCTATGGTGATTATTCATCACGTAAATTATCAACGCTTTCCTGTAGCTGAAAGAAATTCAGAGGGCGTTACGGCTTTTGTCCTAACGTGGGTAAATGCTGGACATTTTCAAGGTCAATCTTCCTACGAGAACGTCGCAGAACCTCACCTTTTAGAGAAACCCCCGGCTGGCACATCCGGTAGAGGAATATAATTTCTTCCTCCTTTTAAAGTATTTGATTTTTTGGGTAAATGTGTTCCAAAAGTGAGATACCAAGCGTCAAAAACTGTGTTTAATAATGGGAAATACTATCCGGCTTGCAGATAAAAATTATATACACTACGCTATTGGTGTAAGAGGAAGCAAAAATAATCCAAGCACGTTACCCCATGAATTGTTTAAGGCTTTGTTTGTTTGTTTTTGAGTTTCGCGCAAAGCTACACGAGGGCTATCTGCGCTAGCCGTCCATAGTTTAGCAGTGTAAGACTAGAGAGAAGGCAGATAGTCATCACCACCCACCGCCAACTCTGGGGCTACTCTTTTACCAACGAAAGGACAAGCATGTTTGGTGTGACAGGGATTCGAACCCGCGACCCTCAGATTGCGAGGCGAGTGCCCTAACCACCTGGCCATGCCGGAGCCTTGTTTAAGGCATGTTTTGTTTTAGAAATTGAGTTGTCATATGTAAATTAAATACCTGTGACATCATAACCTCTCTTGTAACAGTAAAAGGGAAAACATATTTTGTATAAAGAAGCATTTCTTAAGGCGTTAAGTACAATGAAAATGACTTGGAGATAAGTATTCCCCCCATTGGCTGAGCGGTAAGCTTGAGAGCTTGTACTGCTAGAATTCGGGGCATGATCCTTGCGCAGGACACAGCACAAATAGCCCATTGCACAGCTTTTCGCAAACTTGGGAATAAAGTCGGGAAAAAATCAGCTTATTTTCGTACGAGTTTAGTCTGATGCCATCAAAATCGTAAATTATTTTTAAATTAATATATATTTTTTAGTGCTAAGAGGGTATGACTTCTGTACTATTAAGCATAATTCAGTGGTGCTATTTACTTCATTTAGTTTCGGTTTTAACCTACTTTAAATCAACTCTCTGTAATACGAAGTTGTCTCCTGTCACGAGCTTTACCGGCGCAAATCACACAGTTATTTAGAGCAGGTGTTTTTATATTTAAAGTTGTTTGCGATCTAGATTAGAAAGCTCCATATTTCTAAACTTTGCAGTCCTTACCGTAGATCCTACGTACCTAGAATTACATCTAGGATACCCATACAATTAAACAGTATCAGTTAAAAAGCGAGCTAT